AACACACACACACACACACACACACACACACAGGGTAGTTTTTTTACTTTTTTTTTTACTTTTTTTTTATTCCATGCGTGTCCCGCCACGTGTCCGAGCCCCATTGCGCTCGAGCCGTTGATCGGAATTCAATAGGAAGCCCCCGTTATACCGTTCAACGGGGACCCCGGGGGTGTTCAACCAGTACAAGGACGTTGTACAAAACCCGTTGCCTGTTGAATGGACACATAGCCTGGCTCCAGTACACAATGCTCTGCACGTATGGATGAATTCGGGATAATGGACTCATTTGAATGCACCTTGTCCAGAAACTGCCCAAAATGTAGGTAGCATGTTGAGCAGTGGAGGGAGGGAGGCCCATCATCTTGTGGATGAGCCGACGGAAGCTCGGACTGAGAAAAAGTGCACCTATGCAATCAGACTCGTTCTCGATCACACTTTACATGCATGCAAACAGTAGCGCAGCAAACTGGTGACATATGCCCGCTCAAAACTCAGAGATATGGCAACCCAAGTACGAGTTCACTCTTTAATGGCTATGGCGACTCAGCGCCCAAACAACTCTCTGTTCGCATACATCGAATCACCTTGGATATCCCACACGCGTCTCTCTGAACACTCACCCACACACACACGTTGAATACTAACTACAGCTAGTGTGGCTATGGCCACCTCTACCCTATCGCTATGCTACGCTCCTTCCCTCTCGCCCACTTCGGCTCCGGACTCACTGCAGACCTCCTTGCACAAGTCGTTGTTGCAGCGCATCCGCATGGCTCACGAAGGAATGAATGAATGGTTGAGCGCTGCCTCAGTGCCTCTTGATTTATACTTCTGAAGCTCGTTCGTCTGCCCCTTTTCCATAGGCCCATGGTGCTCAAAGTCCCTCGTGGTACTTGCTGGACTGGCCTGGGACTGACTGGACCTTACCGCTGACTGAATGGGGACTCACTGCTATCCTACCGCTATCGTACTGCGAACGTACTCCAGTTGGTTCACCACTTGCCCACTTGCCCACTTGCCCACTTGCTCGACCTTCTAGAAGGACTACAGCTAAGACTTCTGGAACTCACTAAGACTTCTATTCTACAGATCTACAGATCAAACCCCCGCTACCTACGGACCCTACGACAATCTACTAACTGTTACAAATATACAGGTCGTGGGTTCAAGCCTTGAGGTCGACACAGATACTGTAACAACAATTTCGTCAAAACAGACATTTTATATTTTTTGAACGAAATTTAAATTGTCATTTCCGTGGTGATTTAGGGTAAAAAATGCATTTGAATTTGGGGTACGAGTATACATGCAAGGGTAAGGGGTACGGGGTAAGGGGTTTGGGGGTAAGGCATAAGGGGTAAAAGACAAGGGGTAAGGGGCAGGAACTTTGAGCAATGGTTGTCATCTTCTATACACTGTTTCCATGACAAACAATTTAATGTTACCCACATCCATCCGCATGTAATCACAATATCTAGCAGCAGGTTCATACTACTCGCGAGCCCCTGTGTCCAAAGCCATTCGACGACGTATTGCGGGTATGTCATCAGCGGTGAAAGAGAAAGGTGGAAAGTGACCCCTTGCCAATAGCGATGCGTATTCGAGCATGAAGACCCCACACGAGCTAGTGTCACGTTGTTTCGGGATGCCCTCTACGGTCTATATGTGATTAAACGGTTTCGTGTCCACCTCTTTGCCTTGCTGAATAAATCTTTTAAACAAAAACTTTGCAAATCCGCTTGTCACTTTGGCTGCTCGTTCTTTGTCGTGACTGAGGGGGTCGTAAAATTTGAATTTTCTCCTCCTGAAGTCAGCCACAACGAGGGTCCAGTGGTTCGCGTGTGCGATATGGAAAGGGGCAATTATCAAGTCCATGTCACTTATTATAATGTCATTTGACCAGTGCTGCACCTCTCGCTCTTGATATCTCATTTCGCTGTCGAAAAGTCTGGCGAAGAAAAACGAGCTCAACACTGATATTCTAGGAATGCGACCCTTTCCGATTCTAATCACGGTTTCGTTCTCGGCGTCGCATTCTACGTGTGTGATTCTACACCAGTTGTCTAGTGCGATGAGGTTCAGGTAGAAGTTGACGACGTTGTCATTTAACCAGTTCCGCTCGTCGACTAGTAAAATAAATTCGTCTCGAGTTAGCTTCAATACTTCGTTCGTCCCATGATTGTGTATGCTCGCTATTGGGAACCTTTTCCCGTACTCCCGGCTTACATGTGAGAGTACTTTCATCTCCTTCTCTGATAAAGACGATGTTGCGAGGCGCATTGTTCACCCTTTTTTGCACTTTCTTGTATCTGTTGTTGTAATTTGCACTGCACACGACAAACACGACGAATACGACATCGACGGGGGTTTAAACAACGGTGACCGAGGCGGACAGGGGTGTAAAAAAATGGTCACCCTTACAGGAAAGTAAGAAATGGGTGGGCGAGCGGTGTAAAAAACGGGGAGGGCGACCATTTGAGATTCTTGTAAATGGGCAAGTGCCTTAGTATAACATGCTAAACGAAAATGATGTATTCAAGATACGTGATCAATGTTTCGCTAAACTTACACTTAGATGGACGACAACACTTCGGGACCAATTAATCCTGACTCCTGCCCCCTTTCATCACCGTACCCCAACGGCATACATACATATACAGAACGCAGCATATTGACGGATATAGAGAGACACACACACATACTACGACACACTCTTGTTCACCACACAATTTTCTTGTCAACAATTAAAAGGTCAAATCCCGGAAATTGAACACTAATGAGTCTATAGGTCGATTGTACACAGGAACAAATTTCGCCCACAAACCCAGATTTCAAACAAATGAGCACACACACAAAAACATGATAATTTCCCCGCGAAGAGGATTCCCCTGAAGTTCATTCATTGTCTCACCCCTCATTTTTTGCACGCGTGGGATCGCTCACGCCCTTTCCGCCTTCTACCCTATCCTCATCATCCTTCGTCATGTCCTCAATATTGCGAGAACCTGGAGACCCCCCTGCATTTCCCCCATTCCCGTCATCCCCTGTGACCCCTCCCTGTGGTGTTGTTGTACAGTGTGCGTCACCTTTGCTAGTGCATGTGGGCGGATGCAACGACATCCCCGTGACGCCCATCTTAGCAGTGGACTCTGACACMATCTCCTCCGTTCCTGYCAGSGCCGTACYTGTCGCGAGGAGACTCYCGTATGTGGCRCYCGCATCCGCCGSCTTGTCGAGTGACACTTTTTCACCTTGTGATGTATCTCCCGTTGCGACAGAGATGRCTCCGATRRKGTTTTTSCCTGCGGGCGTGTTCCCCGCCTCTGGCAACRGAGGCTTCACGCCCAACGTCGTCCCGCCATCTTCCCTTTGTTCACCCATCGTGTTCCCTGTGGTCKCCTCGGGYACAGAGGCGACATCTTCTCRGGAGTCCAAGTCCATGCTCTCGAGCGCGGCAGCGCGCTCAACCTTCCAGTCAATCTTGTCGTACGAGGGGTTCGACTGCAGCTCGTAAAACTTGTGTGAGTACTCTAACTGCCGAGTGGGTCCCAAGGCGTTGAACAATTGTTTCGCCTTTGCCACGATGGATGTTTCACTCTCCCCGGGATTCTCTTTCTGACAGCAGTATAGTATTGATTGCTCCGTCCTCTTCAACCAGCTGTCCTTTCCCATGCGGGCATACGGTCTCCAACCCTTCGAGACATACTTCACCGCCAGTTTCCACTCCCGGCCTTGGATACATGGCTCGAAAATGCCGTCATGCCAAATGATATCATGGGCCCACTTATCCTCAGTAGTGTAGGAGTATTTGTCATCCGAGAAATACACATTGTTTGGATCCGCACAAAATCTGGGAGGAATCGGATCGCCCGGCGCCAGCTTCGTTGGCTGAGCAGGAATATCAAGGTCATCGTCTTCGTCGTCTTCCATAGACGTACATACAACTCGGTCCACACATGAGGCCACACTGTTCGTGGGTGGCAGGTTCGAGCATCCCTCTGATTGACCCGGTCCATATCCCTTCACGATGTGCTCCATGACAGCGAACTTCCCACACCACCCGGTTGCATTGGTGTCCTTTTCGATCTCGAGGCCGGAGTCCGACGAGTCTTCCTCGCAGTTAACGGGGTTAAAGCCTTCACCCGATTTAGCGAGGTCTGCATAGTCCTTAAACGTCAGTTTATCTTTGTGAAGATCAAACCTCAAGATCTCGCATCGAGCAACGAATGTCTCGAAGGCGCCAGTTAGAGCACCGTGATAATGTTTGAGGGCCTCGGTCACCTTGGCTTTCCTATATACGTATCCCCCATCAAGGCGTCCATCCGGTGCATCGCGGAACAGGTATTCCCACACCTTCAGTTTTTACGGTCCCAACTTGTGGTACATATCGCTGTTCGTGCGATGTGTGGCACRCGGCTTCTCGAGGCGGCACTCGAATSTCCCATCCTTAACAAGTATGKMGACGAACTTTGTCAARTATGCAATGTCCTTGGSCGACTCRTCAYAGGCAATGACATTATTACCTGCAAGCAAGAAYTTTCATACAAGACCYGCGTGCGCCCTACCCAGCAAAAGCACACCTTCCGCCTCTCCTAYGAACGAACTGCACAACTTYCGCAACTTGCCAGGTT